GATTGTCGATTATAGATTGTGCACCAATTGATTTTTTAATATACATGTTTTTAATATAAATTTATTACTTTTTTTTTTTATTATTGTCATACTAGCTGCAGCTGCTTCTATTTATTGCATAAACGATTTAAGACAAGTGAGATTAAATCCATATTGTAGGCTCTCTTATATTTTATCTACTTTTTCCTTTTTTCATATAAATTACTAATTTGAGTGTTTTTTTTTTTAATACATTAGCCAACTTTATGCTCGTAGATATTGGAGGTGGTTCAATATTAATTGCAATATATAAACTTTCTGCTGATGGAAAACCAAATGAATTAATGGAATATTCTAGTAATTTATGTGGTAGTGCTTATATCGATAAAGAATTTATACGATATCTTTGTGAAAATTTTGATTTATATGATGCTTTACAAAGATTACAAACTAATAATTATGATCAATTACAATATCTTGCTCAAGAATTTTGTCAAAAAGCTAAATTTTCTTTTACTGGTGATCCTTCAAATTTTAAACCTATAAGTATAGATTTGGAAGATACTTGTCCTGCTATATTAAAATATGTTACTGGTGATGTTAGAGATAATATGATAGATGCTGAATGGATAATTGAATTAGCTTTCGAAGATGTTAAAGCAATGTTTGATCCTGTAATTCAAAGAATTAATTCTCATATAGGAAATCATTTAGTAACTTCAAAAAATAAGTGTGATGCTATGTTTCTTGTTGGTGGAGGTAGTGAAAATCTGTATTTACAAGGACAAATTAAATTAGCTTTTGGTCAATATTTTACATTCATTGAAAGTCCTAAACAACCAATTACTGCTATAGTTCGTGGTGCTGTACAATATGAGATAGAAAAGACTAAAAATATACCACGTGTTGTACCTTCTATGTACGAATTAAATAATTTGAATAGTATGAAAAACTTTCAAAATTCAAGTATCGGTAAATCACATGGATCTTTACATAGTATATCACCTGGATCTGTACATAGTATGCCACCTGGATCTTTACATAATATACCACCTGGATCTTTACAGTATGAACCTGGATCTTTACAATATCAACCTGTTAAGAGTGCGATTATTCCAAATGAAAATGTACATAATGGGTTAGAGAACAAGATGGACGCGTTACTCATACAAGATTGGAATCCTTTTACTAATCCATTTAAATTAGGTTCAAGAACATTAAGATATACTTATGGTGTTCAAGTTGTAAAGAAATGGAAGAAAGGAGATCCACCTGAGCGTAAAACTCCAAATGGCTTAATGAATATTTTTTATCCTTTAATAAAAGCCAATACTATTGTTAAGGTTGATCAAGCAGTTGGATATGTTGCAAGGCCATCTGATCCACAACAAAAGGATATGACATTTAATATTTACGTCTCTCAAGAAATAAACCCGAAATATTGTGATGAACGAGGAATGAGACATTTTGGAACTCTTAGAGTTGATCTTTCAGATATGCACCTTGGAAAAAAACGACTCATAGAATTTTCATTAGTTTTTGGCATGTCAGAAGTGAAAGCTGAAGCAAAGAATAAAAAGACTGGAATGGTTTATCGAGCTACAATGAAATCATGATTTAATAACTTATATTTATAATTTAGATTTAATTATTGAATGTAGAACTTTTTTTTATTTATTTTTTAATCACATGTATTATTAATCACATTTACATTAGTTTTCATTTTATTTTGCATTCAATAATTTACAACTTTCTGATACAGCATATGATCATTTAAGATTTTTGGGTTTGATACTCCATTTCTTTTTCAAATTCTCCCAATAATTTGAAATCTTCCATATATGCCGCTATGAGATCTCTGTGCACCTATTTTATATAAATTATAATATATAATTTTTATTATTATTTATTATAAAAAATTTATTTATATTTTTTATTAACATTTTACCTGTGTTGGAGTGCGTTGTGTGATTTTGATATTTTTTGCTCTATAAGATTTTCTTCGACGTTTATAATCACGTTGTTCGGCTAATAATTCAGTACGTGACTTTTGCCCTTGACTTTCTCCTTTATATATAAAAATCAAATGGTAATTATGAAATGAATGTTACATATATATATATATTTTTTAAAAAAAAAATCATACCCTTTTTTTTTTGAACAGCATTCCAAACTTCATCAAAATTTTGATATTCGTCACGTTTTTGTTTTTGATTTACTTCACGAATTTGATTAGATATCGCAATTTCTTTTTCGTATGCTCCAAGTCTTTGATTAACGGATAAACTTTGTCCTACACCAATATTCCCGGATCCATACGTAACACTTCGTTGCGATTCTTTTACATGATCTATATATATATATATATATATTGATATATTTAAATAATTAAATACACGTAAATTTTAAAATTTCATAAAACAAAAATTTATATATAAACCTTCAGTCAAGGTTATTACAGTAAGTGCATTCTGATAAAAAAAGTTCGAACTTGGTAAATGTTTTCGCTTTTTAAAATATAAAATAATTTATACAGCATTAGTACCAATAATATCTGAAATTCAAAAGATAATATCAAGAATATTATTATTACCTTCCCATAATCAGTAGTAATTCCATGAGATTTTAGTTCACATCTTTTATAATGTTTCTCATAAGATTTTGTAGGAACTTTATGAGCAGAATTAAAAGGACATGTTATTGATGATTTGGATTCCTATTTAAAAAACGATTTAAAACTTTTTTTTTTTTATTCAAAAAAAAAACGACTAAAATATAAAAATATTTTTTATTTAAAACAAACAAATAAAAAAAACCTGTTCACGAATTCTTAAAGATTCTATATCCCATGAAAGTTCACTTAATAAATCTTCAAATTTTTTATAATATTCTTTTAATTGATTCTCATAAGTTTGAATTAATTCTTGTCGTTCTTGAGGATTTATACAAGACATTCTTAACTCTAAATTAATTTTTCTTTAGCACATCATATGATAATCATTGAACATCATTTTAACTTAATATATCATCGTATATAATTATAAATTTAAATGTCGGAATTATTGCTATCGTCATCCTTTTTTTTTTTTTTTTTTTTCTTTAAAAAATGGATGACAAAGAACATAGTCATAACATTGATGGGGACGGTGAAAATAGCTCCGCTGAAAAGCTACGAGCTAAACAAGAAAAAAAGAATATGAAAAAAGCGCGAAAAAAAGCGGCTAAAAATACTGATAGTTCAACTGTTGAAGACACTTCAGCTATTACTGCTGCCAAACAAGCAGAATTACAAGAAAAAGTCAGAATGCTTGTAAATCAATTAGCCATTCGTGAAGCTATACAACCTCAGCCAAGTATTACTAGTTCACAAAGACAAAAGGATATGAGCTCTCATAAATTTTGGAGTACTCAACCGGTTCCAAAACATGGTTAGTTTTTTATTCAAGGTTTTTAAACTTAATTAGGATATATTCTTACTAAAAGGTAAATATTTTTTTTTAGGTGAAATAATTAATGATAATGGTCCAATAGAAGAGAATACCCCACATGATCAAATTCGTAAAGAACCATATATTTTACCAAAAGAATTTGAATGGTCAATTTTAGATTTGAATAATGAAAATGAGGTATATTTGAAAAAATTAATTATATTTGATAAAAATTTTATTATTCGTGTTTTTAGCTTCATGCTTTTCTGTTTAATCATTTAAGACGTGCTGTGTTGATCGGATTTTCATTAGCTTAACGAATTATACACCTTGCTAACAAATAACTATGTCGAAGATGATGATGCTATGTTCCGTTTCGATTATTCTGGTGATTTCTTGAGATGGTATGTTTTTTCAAATATTATTATTTGAAATATATATATATATAT